TTGGTTTCTTATTTTTCTCAGGCTGTCAGCACACCACATGTTCATGTATGCAAGTACATTAAATACATAAATTTGTAGAATGCTAGACACCCTAGTTTAAGAAGTCTAAGGAGTAGGAGTTTCCTATTATTGGGGCCACGTATGTATAATAACATGAAATGCAAAAGCTTGTTATTAGAAAGATCACTAACGAGAAAGAAAGCATGTTGCGGACTTTAGGTGCATCAGGCATATCCATAAACAATGAATTGGAAAAGAAAGAAATCCGCCTCCTAGCTTCTAAGTTGGATGGTACGTCCATTGCAGATTCCTTTGTGGTAAGTAAAAGATAAAGCCGATTGATCTGCAACACAACTAGCAAATACAGATGATAGACTTATCAAAAAGAGAGAGTTTCTCAGTTTTGATGGATATCCATTAAATTCACCTTTTCTTTCCATGCTTCTGTTAATGGATTTATTGGAAACCTGATAGCCCCAGAAGATGCAAACAACTGATATTGTTCTTCGTGGAGCGTCATCCCCTCATGTCCAAAACCATGTATAGATTCCACCAAACTATCAAGAAAAGTGGCAAGTTCATCAAACATAAAGTATAATGCACTTTGCATCTGAGGAAATAAAATTAAGATGGCAGACCTAGATGCTTGATCCTCCATCATGTCTCTTGTCACAGCCTCCAGCATGTCCTGGAAAAGAATTACCACTTCATTCCGGTCGTCTGGATTATTCTTTAGCTGCAAAATCAAACCACTTCATTCAGGACTCCATGTTATGCCACAGTTCAAGAGAAACCAAAATTTTCATTATTTTCTGGAAAAATTTTGATCATTACCAAAAACTTGATTAACTTGACAAAGTGGTCATAAAGTGTAGGAAGAGCGCTCATATTGAATTCACTAGTAAGATTGCCGTCTACCAAATGTTGGTCAACCTCACGAAAAATGTGCTTGATAACTCTAAAAAAAAAAAAATCATCAGGAAGAATGCATCATGTTCGAAAAAGCAATAGACTTCTAAGAATCTTAACTACACCATTAGCAGCATGAATAAAGATGAAACTCCATGTTGATCATGTCTCCAGCTATAAACTCTAGAAGTTCATCAGTACTTACTCTTTCTCACGTTTCCCTTGAACCAAGACCATGCTAATGTTCTTGAATGAAGCATAGCATTCACAAACTGCACACTTCATGTAATAATCAGACTCAATTTGCTTTTTCAGCTCCTTCCCCCTACTATCACTGTCCTTGGCCATGTCTAAAGCTATGGGGATCTACAACAAAATTCTGAATTAATACTAAAAGTGAGCTTTAAAGATGCAGAAGAAATAAAAACTAAAGCTAACCTTGCTAGCAAGCAAAAATGGAGGCCACTGTATTAGGTCCAAATCACGATCAGCCCAATATGGAACAAGCAACAGGTTCATTTCCCTGAAAATGAGAGCAAGTTCAGCATGATAGAACAAAAGAAATAAGTTTGAAATTGCATTCAATAGGATATCATTCAGCTTGGGTGCATATAGAATACTTATTGCTTATAAGATCTTCTTCCCTAAAACTACTGATTATTTTGTTCCACAGTTGAGCAAATCTAGCAGCCTCTTTCTGTGTCTTACATGGAACCTACAAAATAGAATGAAAGATCAAGCATTTAAGTATTACAAAATCATAGAAGCCACAAATTAAAGGATATCATCCTGAAGAGCTTCAACCTCTAGGAATCTACGAGAAAAAAATCCCCAGATTCCTTTCTTGCTTTTATCTCTATCATCTGCAGGAATCAGACGGTAATTAAAAGCACCCGGCAATGATTGAAATCGAGATCTGAGCATTCCTGATGTTTGCATCTGGAATAAACAAAAGGAAGTTTGAGCACCAAAGGAACATTATGAGACCCAGAATTTGAAATGAATCTGTTTACATTACTGCTTAAAATTTCCACAGAAAGAAGCAAGAAATGCACAAAGATATTTCAGTGTAATCTTAGATCCAAATATATTTTTAAGATAATTTTAAAAACCTTACAGTACTACTGAGTCAAATGGCACATCAAACTTTAAAGTGAAAAAGAAGGTGCTTAGTATTAAAAAGTGCATAAATCAAAAAGAAAATCTAAAACTTATTTTCCTGATTCTTCCATGAAGAACAAAGAAATCATAAGCACCACTATGATTCACATCACAGCTAAGGTAAATCTTAGACAACAACGAAAGAAGTTTAACTAAGCTGTTAGGATGTACAAAAGGAGGAGGTAAAAGAGAATTTAATTCCAGAAACTACATAAAGTTAAGAATGTTCAACTAACCTCTCCAAGGCGTCTAAATGCACCATAAATGCCTCCAAGTAAGGTGGAGAATATGCAATACCAAATCTGTGTGTCCATAAAATAGACCTAGGAAAAAATAAATCCTTTTATTAGACCTTTATTATCCAAATCATAAAAAAACAAAGATTGATTTAACTATGAACCCCACATAAAGCATACAAGAATGATTGGAGCCCAAAGAGCAATCACGACACCAATATTGTTCTTGGCTGTAAAATAAACCATCAAGTAATGAATATTTTCTTCCAAAAATGACAGTAATTAACATATTAGTAGGCACAATACCTCGAGGAACGAATCCATGCGATTGGAAGTTTGTAACCAGAACACTCATAATAGCTTTTGTGGGACCTACTAAAGGCTTTATCTGTACACACAAAGAATTGTTCAAACAAGTCGCAACATTTGTATTCAATTAGACTACACAAGCATAGCACAATACAACTCCAGTCAAACAAGGAAGACGAAGAACAAGGCTTATAGAAGTTCTTTTCTTAATCAAATCAAAACAGGAAACCTTAAGAGTGATTCCAGGGGGCCTCATAGAGAGAAAATGCCAGCTTTGTAACAGTTATGT